CATCGTAAAAATAGAAGCACACCCAGAAGATTCTGGTAACTGGGACTCCCCTGCATATTTTAGACTGCAGACAAGATGGAAGCCAATCCAGTGTTTTCAAACCCAACGCTAACTACATCAGAAATGTCTGGCAAAGAGCCAACTCAACCAGAGATACCTTGAGTTCCAGATGAGCGATTGACTGCTTCAGATCCGCGATATGCTGCATCGCTTCGCTATATTTCAATCGTTCCATAACCGATCGTTCTTTCAGCTCACTTTCTGCTTCAACCGCTTTACGCCGTTCCTCCTTCATCTGATCCGAAAGCTCTTTTTCGCGCTGAAACTAGTATTTATATCAGAAATACCAAAACCAGTTGGATAATCAGTGTGAGGATCCTATATCAAGACTATCGGTGTGGGCATCCCATACTCTTGATGTGCTGGAATGCTCCGCACGCCGGATGTAGTTGTGACAAACTTTGACAAATCAGTAATTAGGAATAATTACTAAAATGTTTAAAATTATCTACTGTTACAGTCAAAATAATGTTATTTCATAAAAATGCAAAACAACAAATCGCCTGATACGGAGATAGCAAACTGAGGCCGATTTTGGGAGGAAACTCAGAGCTTATAGCCGGCATCATAGAAAATTTTCGAGAGAGCGGAAGTCATCAAAAGCTTTACAGATGGATGGCTGACTGTGTCAGAGTGCTACCGCTCGGATCAATTATGCGTGTTCCAGGACGAGAAGCGGGGAAAGCTCTAATTCTGGATCAGTATGAAAATACAACTAACGACAGTATTTTTACGATTACCTGTATAATCTGGTCTCTTTCTTCACGCAACCTCTTCAACTCCTCATCTTGACGCTTCAGTTGATTTGTACATACGTGATTCTGAAACTTGCCCAGGATTCGTTTTGTACAAAAACATAGCATGAAAATGAATTAACCTGTTAAGGAATCCAACGAAACAAGGTTTTTTTTTTGGTGCGAATGAGTGATTTTACAAATTACTGAGTCAAATTTCACGGTTTTTTTATTTTTGCAACGAGCGTATTCATCTGCTATGTTAGTCATAAAATCGAGTTTCTCGAGAGAAAAATCGCTTCAGAAAAATGACAGTTTTTAGCACTTGGTTTTTAACCAAGTTCCTCGTTTTTTCCGCAGTTGAGCAGCATCTTGGATAATAACACAGCAGTTCCTTAGACAAATTTGTCATCTTTTTAGTCGAAATGACCAGCACTAAAGCTAATAAATCTTCGACTTCAAACTGGCATAATTTTATCCCCCCTCGAAATTCTGTCAAACTTATGGTGGAAGTAGGGCGATGGTCTACGGCATGCCGGATGACGCAAATCTATCGCTACCTGTGTTTCCAGCTCCATTACTTTTTGTCGCATTTCTTTCAGTTCCGCAACTGTGTCCGCTTCACGGATACGTACGCCCATCAGTTGATCCTCTAGCTCCTTCACTGTTATGCAGCCTGAATTTATAAATGTAGCAGAGCACGAAAGCGCTAAACTAGAATCAGTTATTCGTCCACTTATAAACCCACGAAGTTGCGTAAGATACCAGAACCCCCTCTCCTTTCTCTTCATCCTTTGATCCCCGTTTCTCCCCAAATTTCATTCTGTATGAGAGGCCGAAGCATTTGGA